TATTTATTTAAAATTTAAATAGTTACTTAACTATTTAAATTTAAATATTCTAATGAACTTGAAATATTATATGTATATGGATATTATATATAAAATGAAATATTAGGCTAACTGAAACTGAACCACCTTAGAATTTATTTGAAACTACAAACCAAGAAGTAGCACAAACAATATAGATTATAAGATCTATCTAGAATTTTCTGTGATCAGTGTTTAAGAACACAGATAATATTGTTTCAAAGTCTTAACATATTTAGGTAAGTTTTATTTTATTTCTCATCTAATTTTTTTTTTATACAGTTTTAACAGTATACTGATTGTCACTGAAAATGTTTTTATATCTTATTATCATTTGCAATGTTAAAATGCATTAATGATATTTAAATTTTGCTTTTTAAAATTAGAAAAATTGTTAGTGAAATATATTGACATTTTAATCCATTGCCTTATATAGTAGAATCTATTTATTGCTAACACTTTGTGAGTACTGTATTGATGATAATGTTCTTGATTATAGTGAGTGGATTCTTCTGTATGAGTAAATAAATCAAATTACTACTTATTTCAGAAATCTACTATTTGTATAAACAAAAGACAAGCTGAATATAGTCAGATTTTGACCATTTTTTGGGTCAAAATCTAACTATATTCATCTCATTTCTGTATAGTAAACAATGATTTGATTTTATTTATTTGTAAAGATGATGCCAAATTTTGTGAACTTTTATGTTTGTTTACTTGTTAGATACTGTATATGGTAAAGTTCAGTGATATGAGGAAAGATATCAGCTTTAAATGTTTTGTTTTTTGTTTTTTATATATTTATTTTATTTCTAAATGTTTTTAAAAGATTTACTTTAAAACTTTATTTTCTGCTTTTTAAAATCAAATTTTACTACAGTTACAAGGATAGATTTGCAACTTTGAAATTTGAAGAATGTGCATATTTTATTCTTATAGGCTGTAACAAATATTGCGGGATAATTTAATAAGAAATTTTTTTGTTTAATTTTAGGTTTGTGAATTTTTTAAACATATTCTGTTTTTGAGGATTGTATACTTAATATATGATGAGAAATATTGTAATTATTGTGCTTCAAGTTCACTTTACCCCATTTTTGAAAATATTGAAGCATGTCTTTCACAACTCATACAACCTTTCTCAGAAAAAGGTTGGAGATCTCTGTCATAAAGAAAGCAAATACATAGATTGGGAAGAAAAAATGAACCATTTGGAATAATAATAATAGCAAGCAGATATTATCATTATTGCTTGGCTGATAAATTTATTATTATTAATGAGAATGGTGAAAAGAAAGTATGAGATGACTAAAAAGCCACACAGGTAGTATAAAAAATAGAATAATTGATACAGGCCTAGAATTTAATAAGAAGAATAATGAATCAGTTAACTCTCACATTAACAAAATATGAGCGTTAACTGTTTCCATAAAATGAAATCCTTAAAATAAAAAATATCATAGCTGCTGGGAGCTACATTATAAGGACCAGAGAAATAGTCTATCATAATATCAAAAGACTTTCCTTTCCAAGTTGAAAATGTGGCCTTATTTTGATTGAAAAGATTAGAAACTCTTGAGAATGATCTTAAATTACTATAATAGAGGAAATTAGATAAAATACTAGAACAACTTTAAGTAATGATGAAGGAAGACAAAAAATGCATATAAGATGAGAGATAATCATAATCACAAAACAAAACATCAACATAAAGTATAACATATGTAGAAATTCTGGCCATTTTTCAAAAGTGTTGAAATCAACAGGACAGAGAGAATATTAGCATACCTAATTTCTATACAGCAGTGTTTCTCAATCTTTTTTGACCTTTGGCCTAGCCTCTTTTAAGCTTAATATTTTTCTGTTGGCTCCCTCATAATAGTAATTTCTTTTGATAGATTTTGCATTATAGATGGCACTGTTAATGTTAAATCACATAACTTTCAACCTTCAAATTCAAAATGTGTACTTACAGTATTATATAATTATTTTTTTTTTGTACAATACTTAAAGTTTAGTTTTATACTTGAAGCTGAGGAAACCAAATGGTAGCACAAAATTGAAGTTTCAATGGTATATGCACTCTGTACATCTACATGTAGGCATATATTTTAATAATAAATATCCTTTGAAAAAAATAATAAAAATGACATGTTTTGTGTACACCTGCAAAATTCAACATGTTTTCATTTAGAAGAAACAAGTGTATGTATATTATAAAATGTAAAACCACTAGATGCCAAGTGATGTTCAGAATTAACAATACAACTGTCTATTGGTGTTATGGAAAATGTTTACTTACACAAGTACTTTTGGCAATATATAATTGTCCTCTTCAGGCACTATGATCATTTACAGAGAACAGAATGTTTTGTTTTATTTCATTGTGTATGCTGTTTGTTAAAAATTTTGTAAATTTATATACTTTTTATATTTATTTCAATTACATTCATTGTGTGTGAGGAACAATTTTCAAAAATGTTCTATATTGTTTATATTCCATTTTTCAAATAGTGGCATTCTGTTCTCTGTGAATGATAATATTGCCTGAAGAAGATTATTATATACTGTTGAAAATATTTTCATAAATAAAACCTTTTCTACAATGCTGATTGAGAGTTGTGTTGTTAATTTCGCATGTGTATTGTTTGGTAACAAATAAACTATTTTAGGTTCAAAATTTTGTTATTAAATTTACTTTTGTATTTTATTTAAACATAATATTTTAATAATTTTACATATATTTTGCTAATAATTCACTTATTGAAGTTTAATTGTTATCATATAATTTTAATATTTTATTCTGACAGTGGTTCCCTAGAGTTTGTTCTGGCTCCCAAAAGTTGATTTTTTGCCTGTGGCAAAAAATAGAGAACAAAGCCTTCTGGAAAAAGAATCTGGAAGGGTAAAACTGGCATAAATAAACAACCAGATAAATACAACACTACTGAACTCGTTTATAAAATACCTTGCACATGTGAACCACCAAAAGCATACATTGGAGAAACAAAACGAAGATTAGAAACAAGATTAAAAGAACACATCACGGATTTGAAATATAATAGAATCAACTCTGTTTTTTATGAACATTGCACAACTCATAACTGCAAATTAGATAAGAATGACACTATAATAGTACACAAAGAAAAAAATTGATACAAAAGAAAATTTAAGGAAAGCTATGAAATTACTACAGACAAAAATAATATTAACAAGAATCTAAGCATAGAAATTCATAAAAACTGGTTACAACTATTAAAATAGAATGTTTGTACAGTTGCAGGCAAGGCTGTGTGCGGCATTCTAGGAGTGAGATGTTGCACGTTGCGAGGCATGTGGGGGATGCCATCAAGTCGGCAGGGAAGGGAAGGGGAATGGGAAGATGTAGTGCGGAAGGTGCCTGACAGATGTCCACAAGATACAACCTATTTATGTAACAGACTGAAGAGGGGCGAAAGCCAAAACGCTTATCTATATGGATCAAAAGTTGATGATGAAATTATTTGCCAAGCATCAATAAATTCACCAAGTCCTGACATTGAACCAAACAAAACAAGAAGAAGACACTGTTTCAACAAATAAATAAAAAAAGAAATATACTCAGTAAAGTTTAAGAAGAATGAAATAGGATTAAATTATAATTAACCTTAAGTAAATTTTGATTTCTAATACTGATTTAAAAAATTCTGGAAGAAATGAATCTGCCCAGAGCAGGGCTCAACCCCACAATGCATCTGCCACTTACCATGCAGATGCATTACCAGTTATGCTACCTGGACCTCCATCTGATCTTTCAGTTCCAGACATATTTGATTTTGATATAACCATCTTAGTTATTCACAGTGCTACTCATTTTGACATTAAAGCCAAACAATTACTGGATTAAATGGTAATCGTTTGGCTTTAATATAATTATCAGGCTTTGAGATGTATATATTTTTATATATATGCTATGTTTAAATAAAGTGATAGCTGGCTGAGTGCCATAATGAGTTATAGGCCATGGGCACTTAGTTGTCCCCAGTTGTTATCATGAGTAACTAGTATGGTTATATCAAAGTCAAATATGTGTGGAAATGAAGGATTGGATGGAGGTCTTGGTAGCATAACTGGCAACATATCCATATGGTAAGTTGCAGTTGCTAATTAAAAAAAGCTTATCTGTTTACCGGCTATAAGTTTTTAAATAGTAATATACCTTTTACACTAGTAATGATTGCATACTTACCTATCTCATCAATGAAGATGTTCTATACATTGGGAATAGTATTTTCACCAGGCCAGTTTTCACCCGGACGAGCAGTTTTTTAATTCATGGTCCAGATTAATTATTAAGTTGTCTGGTTTTCATAGAAATTGTGAAATTATGATGAAACAAAATAAATTTATAAAAATATTTGTGAAGTATTTTGCAAATATTAGGTTTGTATCAACAAAAGTCCCTAACTGGTTTGTGTGGTGTTATTGAGTTTCTTATCAATTGTATATTTATGCTCCTTGAGTTGTTGTTGCAAGTTGTGAATCGTGGCACCCACATAGACTAGATTAGATCTGAAACATTGATTGTTTAATGGGATGGAGTAGATTTCTGTGGCTGAATTATGGTCATGTTGTTTTTTATCGTTCCTTAAAATTATGAAAACCATATGTAGAAATGCATTCTCATTAATGTACTTTNGATGTTAAATTTATTTTTCTTCTATATTTCGTTACATTATATTCTACATCCGTTTATTTATATAGTTCCAGTTAATACTTGGACTTGTTTTCATACCTTGAGTTGTTGTTGCAAGTTGTGAATCGTGGCACCCACATAGACTAGATTAGATCTGAAACATTGATTGTTTAATGGGATGGTGTAGATTTCTGTGGCTGAATTATGGTCATGTTGTTTTTTATCGTTCCTTAAAATTATGAAAACCATATGTAGAAATGCATTCTCATTAATGTACTTTACTACAGTCTGAAATGAAACATGTTCAAATCAAGTGACATAAAAGCCATGATACCAGCAAACTTTCACTTACTATTCGTGCAAATGTTTGTGTGAATAGTAAGTGAAATTTTGCTGGTATTTTGGATTTTGTGTCACTTGATTTAATACATTCAAACCATCATTCAGACTGAAACATGTTTAATATTGATGACAAAAAAATCTACAAAATTTCACAAACTTTTTATTATAGCATGATTCAAATAAGTGCTTTACTACTTTTTATTAATTTTCATGGATCAAAATCCCCAGCAGTTATTCAAGAAAATGTTTTAAAAACTATATTTAGGTGTTAGTGTTTTCACCATGCTATTAACACTGAAAGATAGTTTTTTAAATACAGTAATAATTTGGTGTATTGTATGTCATTATTTTCTTTTTCAAGATTTATTTTTTCAGGATTATTCAGATCTTACAAATTATTCTAAGAATAGCTAAACATCTAAAGGCAGCCAATTTACCCAAAAACATTCAGATTAGTTATATACAGTATTATTTTTTCAGATCTTAATACAGCAGTTTAACTGGTTAAATTTATTTTATTTATATTTACATGAAATGCAATCTAAACTGTTTATTTAAAACAATCTATTAAAATAGCAATTTTAAAATATATTATTCGAATGTAATATTAACATTTAGCAAGTAATTTGACATAGACACTTTGATACACCTTCTGTAAAGCATTACCAGGAGTTCTTCTCTATTTGAAACTTTGAAATTTTAACAAATTTGTGCAAATATACTATGTTCAGTATTTATGCAGTTTTTATGAATATAATTTATTAGATATGCTGGTATGTTTTAGTTAATATAGTAGATTTCCAAAACAATTTGAATAAAATAAAATATAGTGAAGAAAATTTATAAATCTTATATCTTCTAGACACAATTGTTGATATATGCTTTTGTCTTTTTGACACACAGGCTTGTTCCACATTTTTAAAAAGTTCATTTCTGTATTATTTATATATATTTTTTAAATTACATAATGCAATGATAAACTTTGAATGTTAACTCCTAAATATTTATTACAACTGATTCGTTTTTTGAAACCGTGTTTTCATATTTATTAACTATTAAACACAAGACTGTGTTATTATTAAAACATTATTATTATTACATTTTTACAAAATGTAATAATCTAATGTATATGTTTCTTCTTATCAGTTGACTGATGAGGAGGTATACACCCGAAACGTGTAAAAGTGCCCGTATCAACTGAATAAAGTGGATAAGCGCCAAGTGTTTTAATAATAACACAGTCTTGTGTTTAATAGTTAATTTATTACAACTATTTAATTTGATACATATGATGAACTCGTAGTTTTTTAAAATGCAAGAAATAGTCATAATGTATGTTTTATTTTCTGTTATTTATGAATTAAATTTGTAAAAACTTCACAGAATGCAAAATTTGCTTTGTATTATTATTAAAATAATAATTTTTGCTATGATCTATACCAAAATTTCATTTTAATTAAATTACAATTTTATCTTTGAAAATATATTCCCTCTTGATAAAAATGTTTTTTAATACATTATTAGTGACAATTTTTTACACTTTCAATTACAAATAATCATTCTCAGGGATTACATTGAAATCAAATTAGTGAAAATATTATTCGTTTAGAACAGAAATGGTGTAAACTAGGATTGAAAACTAGTTAATCATACAGCAAAATTCAGGTATCTGTATAAAGTTTTGAAGATCTCATTAGTGTGCGACACTATCAAACTGTAAATACTTATGTATTTACAGTTTGATAGTGTAAATGTACTGTGTATTTTTATTGAAGTATTTTACATTAAAAATTTAAAGTTGATTTTCCAGGAATTTTATAAAAGCTTTTTTTTCCTTCATTTTTTTGTAAAATCCATAGAACACCAGAATTTTGGATATATTATTTGAAAATGAATAATTATTACTGTATTTTGTTTTAATATTGAAAAATATATTTAAATCCAATTGCAAAAATGCAAAGAAACTCAATCTATAAGTATTTACAGTTTGATACAGATTGAGTTTCTTTGCATTTTTGCAAATTTTTGTGAACCGTGTATTTGCATTTTTTACTGAATGCTTATCTGTATTTAAAAACATAAGTATTTTATCTGGATTGTTTGAATCGTTTTTGTGCATTGTCAAAAGTAAAGATGAATAGCAATAGGAGAAGCAAGCTTATGAATTGAATTCCAGATTGAAATTCCAAAATCACAAGGAAGCCCAATATAAGATTTAATCCATTCCCACGCGAAAACAGATGATTATTTGGAAATCATAATTTGGAGTAAACTCATAAGTGTAATTGACGGAGAGCAGATTCGACTGTTAAAAATTGGCAAAAAAAAAAAAAAAAGGTTCCCAATTGTCCAGCTTTACACAAACAAATTTTGTTGTCAATTTTACAAGATTTTTCATACTAATATATACTGATATAAACAATATTTATAATTTGATAGTGCCTTAAAGAATTAAAATTTTTGATATTTCTCCTACTCATATTTTAATGTAATGATTAAATTTATCATTGATTAGTTTCTAAAACATTGTTGATTTTTTTTTATTTGATGAGATAGCTTATAGTGTAATTTCATCAACTATCATCTGGATTTTTATGATATGTCTCCTCATTTCTCTCTATCATGTTATGGAAAATATCAGTGAAAATATTTTTTATTGTCTTTTTGAATCCTCTGTCAATATTTGTGTAATTTACATTCAAATTTTAAATTAAGCATATTATTAATTAATAATCATTAATAATACTATCTTTACATTATTGTCTATGCCTTATTCATAGTTTTTATGCAAAAGTTACTGTAATCTATAAGTAATAATTGACTCAATAAATGTTATCAAGAATAATTGGAGTGCTATTCTACTGCTTATCGTGGACTTTTTTGTATTAATTATTATATTATATTTATTACCAGTATTTATAGTAGTTTTATTATATAGTCTGTATTGATTAAACAGTCTTCTTACTTTCAATAATTAAGAACCTAGTCAAAACAATAAACAATAGTTTGTTTTATCTGTCACATTAAAATTTGTTATTTTTGAATTAAAATTTAAAAAATTAAAATTGCCTCAAAAGACAAATAATTTTAAGTTTTGAGAAATAACATTGAAAGAATAGTGATTATTCCAAAAAGAGAGGAGAAAAATGATAAAATGTTTGTAGATGAAAGAATGGAAAACATTATTTTATTTTAAAAACAAAATACAAAAGTATGATGAGAAGTAAAATAAAATCAATATTATATATAATGTTATAAGTTATATATTACATATATAAAATTCTTAAAAATAATAATATATATCATATAAGAAAANTTATTACATTTTTACAAAATGTAATAATCTAATGTATATGTTTCTTCTTATCAGTTGACTGATGAGGAGGTATACACCCGAAACGTGTAAAAGTGCCCGTATCAACTGAATAAAGTGGATAAGCGCCAAGTGTTTTAATAATAACACAGTCTTGTGTTTAATAGTTAATTTATTACAACTATTTAATTTGATACATATGATGAACTCGTAGTTTTTTAAAATGCAAGAAATAGTCATAATGTATGTTTTATTTTCTGTTATTTATGAATTAAATTTGTAAAAACTTCACAGAATGCAAAATTTGCTTTGTATTATTATTAAAATAATAATTTTTGCTATGATCTATACCAAAATTTCATTTTAATTAAATTACAATTTTATCTTTGAAAATATATTCCCTCTTGATAAAAATGTTTTTTAATACATTATTAGTGACAATTTTTTACACTTTCAATTACAAATAATCATTCTCAGGGATTACATTGAAATCAAATTAGTGAAAATATTATTCGTTTAGAACAGAAATGGTGTAAACTAGGATTGAAAACTAGTTAATCATACAGCAAAATTCAGGTATCTGTATAAAGTTTTGAAGATCTCATTAGTGTGCGACACTATCAAACTGTAAATACTTATGTATTTACAGTTTGATAGTGTAAATGTACTGTGTATTTTTATTGAAGTATTTTACATTAAAAATTTAAAGTTGATTTTCCAGGAATTTTATAAAAGCTTTTTTTTCCTTCATTTTTTTGTAAAATCCATAGAACACCAGAATTTTGGATATATTATTTGAAAATGAATAATTATTACTGTATTTTGTTTTAATATTGAAAAATATATTTAAATCCAATTAAAATACAAAATCATGAAATAATCAATTTATTCCATTTGATAGAATTGATTTCAAGCAATTGGATAAAATTGAAAGCTAAATTTTGCTGAAATACAACACAGGTTTAAATTTACACATGTAATTTAACATGTAACTTATTTAATATTTACAAATAATTTTAAGAAATAAAAATAAAGCGGTAGTATGTAGAATGGAAGATTAAAGGTAATTATCAATATAAATGTATTTTTCGACGTGTTCAGGCAGAGATGTGTATTAACAGAGACGTTGATTTCCACCTGATCGTTTTTGGGCATTTTGGAAGGATGACATTGCTTTCCTTCCAGTCGGTGATTGACCTTGATTGGTATAACTAGACGCCACTAGATAGCACCACCGACTGGTTCACGATATCGATTGGGTACAGTCAGTCAGATCCATCTCTTCAGAACAGTCGTGATCTACAAGTAGCACAAGAGAGTCGCTCCTTCAGCCATGACGTACATTAGGCAACGGGAAGGTGAGGAATACTATCCCTATTTGTTTTAATGTTGGGATGAATGGATTTTCCACTCATCCTCGTATGACATTGACTTATAATTTGAAACAACTACTGTAGCAACCAAGCTCCCTACAAGGAAATCCCGTGTGTTGTTTTCCAGTATCGATCTGGGTGGGAAAATTCATCCCGCGACAACCCACCATAATGTTCTTATCAGGTAAGGGTTAGTTGGAGAAACGGTTGCCAATAAAATTCCCTACCGATTTCGGCAGAGGCCTATATATGTAAGAACATTCCCTGCGTTGGGAGTGTCATCTGTCATGTCACAAATCGGGCGAGGTTAGTCGTTTAGTTCGCACACTTAACACACGTGGATAATACTGGATAACACCATGCTACTATCTTAAACTTATCAGAATTTTGATTTTCCTATTTGTTTTCGGATAGAGGGATGGATAAGCAAATGCGTTAGACTTAATATTAAATATTTTCTTATCTTATCTCGATTAAAATAAGTAAGTAAATAAATAAATTCGAACGTTTCTTATTGTGTTTCGTTGCTAATGTTTAGTTTATCTGATAAAATCACTGATTTTCATTAAGTTTCTGCTAAGATAAAATCGTTTACAATATCCTTCGTAGTACGTAATGTAAATAAATATTCATTTTTATTTCCAACAAATTATTTTTTATCATAAATGTCGTAAATCCTTTTAAGTTAAAGAAAAAGTTAGAAAAGATAATAGTTTAATATTGTTACAAATAAACGAGTCTAGACATCTTAGCGTGAATTCAATTTATTGATTAAATGGAAATTTAATAGCGGTGCAAAGACGAAAAAATACGCGAAATGGATTTGTACGAAATTAATTTCGAAATTTCCAATTACAAATAAATACTCAATATTGTGGATAAATGTAATTTGAACGAAGCAATTACATGAAAAAGCCAGGGATCTTCGTTCGTGGCACAGTGTATTGTGCCATGACCCAGTATTTGGGCACCGCCTTACTCCTGGCTCGTGGCCAACTTATCATCTCGTACAACCCGCAATAAACATCTGAAGACTTTACACCGAATTCTTGATACAAGGAAAAGTACTTTTTGTAGATATGGTCCGAAACGTTTTTGAAAACTATTTCTCAAAGAAAATCTAAGTAATAAAAAGAAAATGAAATGAAGTTTTATCTAACTTGAATGTAGTGCAGCCAGTCATTTGTAAATGTAAGAAAACTTTGTGTTTGTTAAAATAAAAATGACCGAATGGAAACTGACTTAGTATCAACTTTCAGTAATTTAAAATCCTTATGATTTCTATTGAACCTTCGACTTTATTATTTAAACTATTTAGGGCATTTTTATAATTTATTTATTTATTTTAGTAATATTTCCGATTTTATTCTCTCGTTAATTCGTGTTTTATTTCTAATCTTTAACAAAAAACACAATAAAAAAAGGAAACTCGTAAAGTTACATGTAAAATAAAAATAAAAAAATGATGTGATTGTAAAAATTTGGAATTATTTGAATTAAAACGAAAATGTGGACTCTTCTCTGTCGTATTCAAGAATTATTTTATTTATGTAGATCGATAACAAACTATAAAAGAACATTAATATGTCAGTGAAAAATTTGATTTATTAATTTAAAAATAATTAGTCATTCATTATTAAAAAATAATTAAGATTGAAGGGAATTAACGCGCATTTCTATTTATTTAAATATAAATAAGTGTTAGTTTGAATTATCGATTTATAAGAGAATGATTTAGTAGATATATCTACTAAATTTCTTTAATTATATTTTAATAATGTACACACGAATAAAAATTAGTTTTATTCAGCGCTAAACTAACTCATTACAAATTTCAGCTTAAAGCGCAGCTGTTGTCGTCAATAAGAGAAAAAAAGTAAAGAATATAGTTTTCTTTTCTCCTGACAGTTCAATGTTTCAATCGAAAAACACCACCAGTTTTAAGATTCTGATATCAAGTTGGTATTTGTCTTTTCTCGATGGCTATCTTTATACAGATGGTTTTTATAGTTCATCGGACCGTAGAGGTAACATCTGTCGAGATTTTTAAAATGTAATTTTAAATACTCTGCAAATGGATTTTCAAAATATCAATCGGAATATATTATTAACTTATAAGTTTTTTAAAATGTCTCCTGGTTATAATTATATACATCACTTACTGTATAAAGGAATTTTTTCATTTAATTTTATATATAAAGGAGCAAGTGTATACTGTTAGTTCTAAATGACTTTGAATTGTGTGATATAAAACGAATCTATTCTTAGGAATACAAATCCTTACATTGATCGAATCCATCATCCATATTCTAGTCTGCAGGTTGAAAGTTGATCGGATGCAAGCGAGTGTTGATCGGAAGAGTCCATTTATATCATTTCGGGTGGTCCGTTGGCCATTATTTTTATCCCTATTACGGCATTAATAATAAACATCATCACCGATTTCGACATCTAATTTATGGCTCCTTATTGTAAACAGATGTTAAATTTATTTTTCTTCTATATTTCGTTACATTATATTCTACATCCGTTTATTTATATAGTTCCAGTTAATACTTGGACTTGTTTTCATATTTATGCTGCTTTATTTTAATTAAAATAATAATAATAAATGATGTAACAGTTCTGGCTTACACTATTTACTCTTAAAATTAAATTTAAAATGTATCTTACAAATTAACTTATTGTAGAGTTTGTTATAAACTCATTTTCTTGAACACTATTTGAGTTATTACAGATGTGAAATAAAAGTAGAGTTCCTACGGAACAGTATATGATAGTGTGTTGACCTAATTGGTAGTTAGAATTTCAAGTGTTGAACAAACTTTGCTTTAAAAACTAATTATTGCTTAGCGTTATTCTGTGTGCTTTATCAATCCCGTTCATTAAATTGTGTATAATGTTAAGATAGGATTGTTGTTATCTCACTAGTTCAATGCAAATATGCTTTCATTTAAATATCATTATTCCCGAATATTGAGAATAAATTACCAGCCATTTTTCCTTTTTAGACTATTGTACTAATATGAATTATATAAATTAATATGTTTCTTATTTGTTTAATTAATAAGCAAGATTATTGTACTTGTTATTAAAATATGATAGATTTTTGTTGTGATAAAAATATTAATTAAATAAATATTATATAATATATTTATAAAAAGGATTATATTAAGAGAGAAAACGGTTGTTTTACTTCGTTATCGTATTAGGAAACAATAAGGATCTTATTGAAATATGATACTTTGTTGATGTAGATGTTATTAGATTATTTAAGTTTAATTCAAAAAAATATAAGTAAAATAATCTAATCATTTTCTTTTTGTCAGTAAAAAAGTTCAATTTGTTTATCTTCCAGTTTAAAATATTAATAAAAGTTTAATTTAAAAATACCATGGTCAATTTATGCTCATTTTGGACTAAATAAATAAAAGTATTTTTATTGTAAATTAATTTAAATTACCATAAATAATTATATTGGATTACCATTTTTTACATCCCACATTAGTACGTTTCAGAGATTAGAATGGAATTTCTTGTATTATTAATCGATTATTGTGTATTACTTATTTATTCACATAAATCGTGACGAACAAACAAGAAAAAAAAACTTCATTATTTGATAGTTGTTATAACTTTTATTATTTATATTTTAGTGGATTAAATCACTGTTAAATCTTATTTGAATGGTAGTATTTAGTTGCTAAAATATTCTAGTTTCTTTATTAATAAAAATTATTTGAACTGAATATTTTTGCAGTTTAAAAATGTTCATATTAAGATTTTAATTAGTAAAATTACATTGTATTACGATTTTAATGTATTTTTATATTTCTGTAATAAAACTTTTACGCCTAATTTATTTAATCTGTTTTGACATTTTGAAAATATGTAGTTATGTTTGGAATTTATATTAGAGAGAATTTGTATTTTTCCCTTTTAGATCGTTCCATTTTTGCTATTATTTATACAATTGTCAAGAATACGATTTTTGCATTCCATTTTCCAAATTTCTTGAGTTTATTTCCTAGGGCTGAATTTGACGTATTGATTTTTATAATGTTCGTGCTCTCTTTCTTGTTCTGTTTGTTTCTGATGTTTTAATTGAATGTTTTTATTGTTCTCAAATGACGTTCTTTGATACCTCATCAAATGGAAAAATACTTACATAATAGTGTCACGAATATTTGATTTATTCACGAAATTAATAAATATTTAAACTTTTAATAATTATATCAACTCTAAAATCTCAAAATGATTATTTACTGAATATTAATTTTTTGTAATTTTATTTGATTATTGTTCAGCTATCTTATAATAATAAAAATGATTAACTGACTAGAGATAAAATTGTTTAAATTATCATAAATCTATAATTAAAGCTGGAATATATTAATACTGATAAGTGATATTTTGATGATTTAAGGAAATATAAATAACTTGTTTAACTTTTGTTGATAGTAATTATAGCATTAAATTACTTTCATTTTATTCTATGAATTCAAATCGAAAGCAAATACTTCGATAATTTCTGTCTGTGATCCCATCTCATTATCTCTCAAAGAAATTTTTTGTATGGCATCCGGACTCGGTCATTTACCTGATGTTTTGATTTTTGTGCTGATACTTTCTCACCTTTGTTTGCTATCGTAGGAAAAAAGTCATTTTCGATAAAATATACATTTTCCTTCAGGTAATCCTGTTTCATTATTTGAACTTTAATCTCTAATGATTTCTCAATTATTTTATAGATAAACTTTTAACTAAGAATTTGTATGATGATTTTATTAAAGAATTTTTGTTAAAAAATTTGTAAATAATTTACACTGTATATTATAACAGTTTATCCTAAGATAAAAAAAAAATTAAGTAATTTTATAATAAAACAAACCTATTATTTTAAATATAAAATGAACTGTATTTACTTTGGCATTAATTTGCCAGAAGTAATCTATACCGGTTTAATGTCACTTTGAATTCATACACATTAAAGAAAAAGTTATAATTTTTTATTGATTGATTATCGATATCGCAGACACTAATAATTCTACAGATTTATCTTTTTGATTTATCATTTTTAATCCCTCTATCAGTCAGTAACCTACTATTTCCTTTCCGATTGAATAGTCATAAATTACGAATTACAAAGTAAATAGTTATTACGTTAAGGAATTGTGGTATTTTAAAAGATTGAGTATTATTTTTCGGTTAAACTATTTGTAGTTTGGTTAATTTTACTTTTTCTTTCAATTAAAAAAATGAATTAAAATAATTTAAAGTACGAATTGCAAAATAATTAAATATAATTACATTTGACTCATTTTGCTTGATTTTTGTCATCTAAAATTCTGTAAAATTAGTTTTTTTTTTTCGAAAAAATTTAGTGAATTTCGTTCATATTAAATTTTAACAGAAAGTAAAATTATAATGAATTATAAATAAAGTCTATTAAAAGAAACGCAATATCTTTTAATCCACACTTAACATTAGCGCACAATTACTTCCTTTTTTCTCTCAACTAGAGCTAAATATACTTGGCCTTGGCCAGTTCACTCTTATAATTCTACATGTATTCTGTCTAAGAAATGATTGAAACAATAATAACAATAATACAAAGTAAATTCATAATTATTATTATATCTATTTATAAATTTTTTAGAATTTGGCTTATATCAAAAAACTGTTTTATCAAGTAATGTAAAGATTGTTAATGATTATTAAGAAAATCTATGCAATTTATTACCTAATTGTTATAATAAAAAGTTATTGCTAATTTGAAAAGTTATTGAAAAAAATTTTAATCAATAATCGATTACTACATCAAGAAAGCAATAATCGTGTCGAATGCATAATAGATAATACGTTTATTGCAAATAAATACTATTTGCAATAAACATATGCTCTCAAACGAATCTTGTAGATTGTAATGAATGCAACAGAGAGAAGTAATAGAGTTGCATTTCTCATTTTACAAAATTTCTTTCTTATAAATTTAATGCGCAGTTTTCAATATCAAAACTAAAAGCTGTAACTGTAATAAAACGAAGAACTGTTTTTCAACTAGTTCTTCGTTTTATTAGATTTTATAGAATGGTTGGATAGATTTGATGCTAGAAACATCAATAATAAATTGTCAGCACAGTTTAAAATTTATACAATCAGATAATTAGGATCCATGAAATTCGAAAAAACCTAATGGTGAAATCAAAAACTAGTTTCAAATAACTTGGATTTAAGAGAAAAAGGTAATAGAGCTTTATTTTTTTTCTTTAAGAAATAAATATGTAATTTGAAAATTTTTAACTCAAAATCCTTTTTTAGTTTAAGACGTCATGTCGAAAATTTTTTTAAATATTAAAAGTATGTTGTAGCGTTCCATAATGTAATGTTGGTTTCAGTATGTCTGGAATATAATAAATCGGATTTTGTTTTCTAGTAGTCTATAAATTTTAAAGATTCAATTTTAAAGCTTTTTGTCTTGGTCTTTCAGATCTTAATATGATTTGTATTTCGACCAACGTACATATTTTGTACTATTTTTACTGTGTACTGCATATTTTGTATTTATTGTTTGAGCTGTTTTTAAACTGCGGGATTTTTTCAAGAGTCGAGAAATAGATTATAAAAGAAATTGTATCGAGTAATAAAGTTAATATGAATCACATAAACTTAATATAAATTTCATGCGAACGACGAATTACGCAGCAGCAGTTGATAATCGAGTTCACAAGTGCGTATTTTATCATCAAAAAACTTCAAAAATACTATTACGAAAAATATGCACATAAAAATTAAAAAACTACACCTGTTCGTCCTAAATATTTCATTTACTTTACATTAAATATACAGTATATATGTATATTTATTAATTATTATTATTATTTTTTTTTGTAGATTTTTAGTTAAATCTGAGGTGGTCTGTCAAAATCTGTCTATTGTAAAAAAGGCTTGCGAATCATAAAGTTAAGAACTGCTGAGCTGGCGTATTAATAATTACACTTCTTTTAGTCAGCCTGAAATTTCATTTTATTAATAATATGCTATTGAGTGACGCTAAAAAGATGAACTTTTATTCAACGCTGTCGCGAGATATTTATCAGTCCAAAAGCAAGTAAATTTAGTATGGTGCATTTCAGGACACGTGAAAGACATTTTTTTAAAAAACATTAGTACCAAAACTTGCCATTATGATACTTTTGGTGTGCTGCAAGAATGAAAAAGCAGTTCTTTTGCATAAGCATAGGTGTTGCAGCAAGTTTTGGGTATAAAAATTTGAATGTCGTTTTTATCAGCTACTGAGGCCATCATCTTTACGGAACGTGCATTTCTTGAAAGCTATTTTATGAAAACGACAAGCCGCGGTTGCACTTTGGGAATTCGCCATCGTAAGAATTTACGCCGATGACTTGACTCTACAAGCTCTCAAGAGAATGATCATTCGATTCGAGGAAACTGGACGTCTAAGAGTTTAATCCAGTCAGGGTACAAACTTATCACTTCACAAGTCATTGAATATGTTATCACAGCTGTTGTCAGTCAATGAATAATGTTGCAGACTCCAGTAGTGCACGTGCATTGTCACGGCAGTTGGGTGTGTCCAGTGGTAGCGTGGAAGGCACTGAGAAAGTTATGCATTGTTATCCGTAGTTGCTTGTTACTGAGTGATCCTTCAGAGCAATGAGGCACTTTTTCACGTCAGTGAAACAGTGATCACCCGTAACTGTCACGTTTGGGCCGCGAAAAAAACAATCGTGTCTTTCAGCAGATTCCACTGCATTCGCCTAAAGTTAGTTTGATGTGGATTCGCAGCCATATTTATCCTTGCACCATTTTTCATTGAAGAAGCTAGTTTTAATGGGTCTGTGACATGCTCTGACGGCACAGCGATACCATGATATTCTCAACACTTTTATCGTATCGCAAAATGCAACAGCGACAATTCCTTGAATCAATCACTTTCATAGAAGATGGCGTCTATCATGTCGATAGTAATTTCTGCGACGTTATTTCCCCGATAACAGAGTGACTAACATGCATTTTCTATCACATGGCCAACTCGTTCTCCAGATCTTAATCTTTGTGATTATTGGTTGTGGGGCCACTTAAAAAGTATGGTTTATCGAGAACATATTGCCAATGTGACAGTCTTGAAAGAGATTATCACACTGCATGTGAGATGAAACACAGATCAATTACTGTCGGCTTTTGAACAACGCTGTTCATTGTCTTCAGGTTCTACAATTTCAGAGTAGGAACAGTATTCCCAGAATTGCTGAGTTCTCTGTATAGCACGAGTGTCTTATACAAAAAAAAAAAAAAAAAAAATATTTGGGCTTGCAGCCCCAAAAGCGTCTTAATGGTGAGTTTTAGTACTAATTTTTCTACGAAAATGTGTTCCGCTTGTTCTGGAATGTCGCCATACTAAAGGAAGTCATTTCATAAGGATATCTCATAACATTGTGAGGACGATTTTACTAAATCGTGATAAATGATAGAACACTTTGATGTCCATATAGTACTAGAATAGAATTTTTGACTCTGGG